GGAATTATGATTTCCGCGATTTGTTATAAACACGGCTGGAACGTGACGCTACGTAGTCTCCGTAAAGGCTCCGTCGTCGTTTTTACGTTAACTAAATCTGTAACCTGGCGACCAGTGTTCTTAATTTCGTCGCCACTTTCTCCCACCTTCGGTCTCTCCACGTTCAGTCTCTCTTTCATTTTTTTCCTTCTTCCGTGGCCATTAAAATTTTTAATAAAGTTCACCGCGTTTACGGAAGAAAGTGGCGGCGAGTAAACAGAAAGAAAAAGGAAGGAATTCGGAACGCACGTGTGTCGTCGTGCGAAAGAGGATAGCGAAGACGATATGTGTTGCAAGCATAATGCAAGAAGTCCTTCCGATATTCGTTGTTGTTATTCTTCTTCGGTGTCACAAACACAATCGCAGCTCCTTCTATGTAGGTCGTCGACGAACTTTGTTACGGAACGTCGGAGCAAACAAGAGAGAAAAAAAGAGAGAAAAAATGTACTTGGTAACACGGCGTATAAGGTGGACTGAAAGGCAGGATCCGCGTCGGTTGAATTTCGAGGCGGATAGATGGTGCGAAAGATATCCGAAGGAAAAGTTAAATATTGACTGGCGCGGCAAGGTTTAGCTTCAACGTAGAATCTCACGCGTCTATTTTAGTTCCAAGTAAAGGAATAGCTGTTCGTTCCCGAACGTGTTTCGCTAGGAACATAAACAATGTACCAAGAATACTGGCCGCATAGAATCCGAGACGTAATGCGTTTCGATGGACCCCGGGAACTTATCCGCAGAAAACGTTCCGGAAAACTTGGCCGAAAAAGAATCAGGTCGTAGTCGGTCGTTCACGACCCAACAGAGACACTTTTTCCACCAAACTTTCGACCATGTCCTAGTCCGTACAGAAATTCTACGGTCAACGATCCCTCTCTGCCCCGATTTCTCCAATTTCGCTTAAAAAACAACTTCTTCTCGTGTTTCTAGTTTATTCATCGACGATCTTCCAGATAAACAGCTCAACGATCGAATAAACCAACGTCCCTTATGTTACTCGCGTAGAGTACGTCGCAGATTAAATATAAATTCAACACCTAACCTCAAATGTACCATTGAGAGGTACTTCAACCCCGTAGTAAGCGTAACGTTAACCTTTCCAGTGCTACGCAATACGCATCTTATAGTACACACTATCGATGCCTTTCAAAACGTAAACATTGTTAATACGTAAAGCTACGATAGAATATTTCGTTCGACACGTAGTACACGGACTGAGGGCACTGTAGGACAGTCGATACACGCGCGCTCTTCACAACAAACGTTCCACCTCTCCCCGTCTTCTTCGCCATTCCGCAAAACATAACAATTCTCACTCACCGATCGAGGACGCGCCCGTGACATCTGGATTCACCAGGCTTGCTTCTTCCTCCTCCTCCAACCCGCGGACCTATGCACGGGACCGGCGTCTAGCTGTTCCGATGTTCACTTCAAGTCACCAACTGACAAACCACCCACACACTAGCACCGTCCCCGGTCGCGATTCTGCTTGGTGAAAAAGTCGCTGGCGTTGCGTCGTTGTCGAAGCCGTCGTGAATCCACAGGGCGAGAAGAGTCCCAACGAGAATAGGCGTAGCGTACGGGTAAAGAAGGCGGAAATGGAGGGAAGAAGGAACAGTTGGAGAAACCAGAACCGATGTCCCTTTCGCGATGTCAACCGGGGGTGCACGTCCACCAGTTCGGTTCCGGCGGTTTAGCCGGCACGTGGTCGCGTACGAAACACTTTCAGGCTGGCCGTCGACAGAGAGAGAGAGGCCACGCGTCTCGTGTGCTTGTAATCGCGCGTTCGACTGAGCGGCCGAGTACTCCCGAACTGGCTGGCTCTCGCTCGTGCCGCCTCTTCCTGCTCGCGCTCGTCTATTCCCCTCTCGCTCTCTCGCTCGCTCGCGCGTTCGGGCGCGCGCCTTCTTCGATTCGCCGCGTTTCTCCTTCTCTTACTCGTTACTTCCCCCACTAGATGCCTCTTCGTCGCTCGCGCTTTCTCGATACTCCTTCTCCGTTATCACTACGACTCGCTGTCCTTTTCCCACGTATCGGCCACAACTCTGTTTTCTCGCGCGGGTAAATACGCTACGCGGTTGTGCACGATGAACTTACGTTTTTTTCTTCGGCAAGTCTTGCGAATATTTTCGAGATTTAATTGTTGAAATTTGCGAAACGCGGTTTCGATCGCGAACGATAAGCAGGGGACGTCTACTCGTTGATCGCGAAGAATTTCTAGAGAACTTACACGTTACGTAAGCGTGTAATTCTGGTTGTTTCGATAGTTCGAAATTGCTCGATCAGTGTCGTCGCGCTTCCTCTTTACTCCTCCACGCTTCATTTCAATACTTTCCCTGCTTTCTTTCGCGAGGCGAGTGTATTACGCCACACACTCGTGGCTGCGCTTAGGCGTTTTCACTATCGTGCTGTGAAATTTAGCGAATTTTACGTTTCACGCCACTTTTCTTCGACGTCTTTCTCTGCGGAAGAAAATGCCGCGGGACGGTGATCGTGGAAAGAGAGAAGCGCCTCTCGTTCATCTTCGTTCACCGACACTCTCATTTTCTTCGCTATCTCGGCTCACCACGCTGAAACACAGGATTTATTATCTGTTACGTCGTGTAATGTCTTTTGAGGCAGGTTAGGGTGCTTAACTCAACATTAGCCGTCGAGGTCTACCCCCTACGGCGGCCGCTCTTCTGCATTCTGCCGGTGAAATCAGTTGACGCGAGCTCGCGCGCGCGATCAACCTCAGCGTAGCAGTAAATCACTAACCGAAGCATTAACTGTTGCAACTGTCCGGGAGAGAACGTTTTATTGCGTATTCGCGTCGAACGCGCGACGATTAAGTTCAGACACACGGAGAGAGAAAGAAGGCCGGGGTCCCGGTGTGTAAGAAGGCACGAAGCGAAGAAGGAGGAGGAGGAGGTGAGGAAAAGATGCGGAGGGAGGAGGAAGGAGGGCACGTGGGGACGTAGCGCGGCGTTAGATCCTCTCTCTGGTTGGAAAAAGGGTGGACAACCGATATCGACCCTCAAGGTCGTATGGAAGTTTTAAAGCGTGGCCAGCATGTGGGCCAGTGGGTCAAGTCGACATTAGTGCGCCGCGAAGTAGATCGCGCGTGTCGAAATTGTTTCGCGCCTCGTTCACCGTCATCCATCGCGTTCACGCCGCGTCGATTAACCTCCGATAACGCGGAGACGCGGAGCGGCAGCGTGGATTTCGAGACCAACGGTGATATCGGGAACGATAAGACGAGACGTCGCGGAAGTTGCGATTAGAGTTTTCGTTGCACACAGATCATTATCGATTTTGCTCCAACTGCATGACGAATTTTACGATACGAGAGAACGATCTTACACGCACACAGACGATCGATTTCTTCGTCAGCTAGTTTATAAATTCAGCACACGGAGTTAGTTACCGTGTAGTTGTTCTCTTTTTTTTCTTTCGTTAATTTCTCTTTCTTCTCCCACCTCCACCGCTTTTGTCTTTTATCGTTTAGCTTGGGAACGATAAAGATTGATAGAGGCAATCTACAGATGTGCCGCGGCAGAATCACGAAGCGGTGGGATAATCCCCATAGACGATTCCATCTACCTGAATGTTAAGATTTATGCGTCTAATATGACCGGTATTAATTCATAAATCCGGAGGGGTATTACCATCTACGAAACTCGCGATTCATAAATCCCGAGATTTATGCGCGCAATACTCTAAGCACGAGAGATGGAAACGCTCGGTTCTCGCTCATTCTGCCCCGTTCCAACCGCTCGCGAGCGGTGTGTGCAGTTAAATTAACCTTGAAGCGATTCAATTGCTCGAATAAAATTGCAAATCTTTGCTACTCGCTTTTAAACGTTGCCCCGTTATTAAATATTCCCTGTTCTACCGCGGCCGGTGCGCCTCGAGTCACCACCGCGATTTTAATTCCCGCGGCCTCCTCTTCTTCTAACAGATCTCTGACTGAACTCCTATATAAATCTGGCCAGTTGTTCCGTTCGATTGAAATTTTTCACTCGCTCGCTCGGTTCCCTAACGGACCTACACGCGTAAGTATATAAAAAAGAAGAATGAAAAAAAAAAGAAGAAATTGTTGCACTTCCATTGCACACCGTCTCTGTGTGACATCACAGAGGCGAAGATCTTCGACCGAGGAGGAGATGGAGGTCGTTGCTAGAGGAGGAGGTGGTTGGAGAAAGAGAAAGAGGAGGTGGAGGAGGCACACGGGTTCGCTTTTGCCTGAGCGTACCCGTTCGTTCACCCTAGCGGGGGCACCAACCTGGCTTTACTTCAGTTACACGCCAAGAGAGCCGGCGCTGTATATAGGTATATAATACATTCTCGCGTGTACTTACACCTAGTATAGGTAGGTATACGGAGTGTACAGAGAGTGTCCCGGTCGAGCATGATGCGGTTCCACGGCCCTTTACGAGCGAGGCGGGGTACCGACTTGCCCCGTTCTCCAAAGAGAAAGATGGAAACGCCGCGAGAGAAAGGGACAAGGGGCGAGCCCTTGTGTTCGATCGCTTTCGACCAGGCCACGGATCGTGCTTTTCGAGAAATTTTATATTACCCCGGATCTGTATGATACGACGTTACGGGCCAGACTACTACGGATTAAATTCACTCGACGAATGGGAAATTTTCAAATGGTTCTCTACCGTTAATCCGATTCGTCTTTTTGTATTTTAAGACGGTTACGAAATTGAAGCATTTTTTTTCTTTTCCTTTCGTTCCGATTAAGTTTTCGATGATGCACGATTTGCGTTGCTCGACTACTTGTCGCAAGGGGTTCTTGACCTAACACGTGGTGACTACGAAACGCTGACTATTCATAATAATGACGGGTTTTTTACGATAGGATCACTGGAATAGCTGATTTCGCTGTGTTTCGATAACACGATGGTATTTAAGGATTGTAAAACCGTGTTATATTACATCTTCAAAGATCGTACGATTCTTTATTTATTTTTTCGGATAGATAAATAAGTGAGGTTATATTTCATTGCTGATCGTTAAGTGGTATACGTGTAGAGCGTGATATTACGCGGGAAAATGAAATAGAGGTTAGAATTGAACAAGAACGACTGTATTTTAATTAAGTGTAACGACCAGTATGTGTGCTGACCATTCTGATGGATACTGGATCTGTCACTGTATCTGTCGGACTGGATGTTCGTTGTTGTTGCGAGTAGCTCACTTCCATATCAATTTCGTCTAATTCTTCTTCCTCTTCTTCATGGGTATCTGATTCCTCTTCTTCTTCTCCTTCGCCCTCCTCCTCTTCCTCCTCTTCCTCCTCTTCATCTGATCCTCTGAACTGTACACGATCACAATTACGTTATATATGTTAAATTTTATTTTCACGTCGCGACTAACAAAAACGTAATAACGCAGAAAACTGATTTATCATACGTTTCGTTGTCCCGTTATGAAAGATTTTTTTACGCCGTACTTGTTGAACGATCCAACAGTCGGTAATGACGTTACGCAGGAATTAACGAACGCCACGTATGGTAAGCAATTTAGCGACTTGAAAAAAATATCTCAACTTATTCTTATTCACACGTTTAACCGAAACAACGTAATCAAATACGAGAGTCAATGTTGTAAAACGTTTAGATAACTAAGCAAATCGGTATATATACGACGTAAAACAAAAGTGAGGTTAACTTACGTCACTGACTGTTTTTCCAATTGGAATATGCTCATAACCTTGTACTCGAACGTGTTCTCTCTAAACAAAAAGTAAAAATAACAAATAAATTTATGTATAACTAATTTAGTATTTATAGGCGAAGTTTGTTAACTTATATGTGGCATACCTACCCATGCTTGATGTTCTACTTCAAGTGCAGCTACCTCGCTTTCATCGTCGCAAGGTCTATCGGCGTTGAACCACAGAGGATCAGTTGCTCTGGGTTGTAAATTTGGCCACAATGGCATAATCGACATGTTGAAATGCGAAATATTTCTCACTGTTTATCGAACGTGTCAAACTTTCATCTGTCAAATTGCGCGTATACAAATCGTATAGGCATGCGTGGAAGCCATGCGCTTGAAATTTGGCGCTTGCTGTTCCACGTTTAAATGTTGTTATATATTTAAAGAAATAATGTATTCGTTCGTATAACAATATTACGATAAATAATTTTATAATTTTTAAACATAATTTTTTTATATAATCTTTCAAATACATGTGTACGTTTACTCGTTCTAATGCTGTCGCTTTTTAACGCAATCGTTGTATATTTTAAACGTAATGTTTTTATGGCGCGTACTTGCCGCGCCATCTGTTGCAATAGGATAGGAATTACGTAGTCTCTGTTCTAGTGTCACGTGTTTAACCCGCGGAAAACCATTAAGCCGTGTCTTCGTTATTTTACATCTACGGCCATGGAGGAAACCGTGAAAGTTGTGTGCAGTTTATTAATGGATCTCTGAGAGGTTGTTTGACCGTTCACGCAGAGAAATCTGCGAAAGTGCCTGTTAATCTCATTGTAATTTACATTCAATCATTCTCACAAGAAAAAATCATTTTTCGTGATATAACCTCGACCATTTAACAAAGGTGAGTCCAAGATGTGTTAACATTTTGCCTGTTAAATTAAGACAAACTGATGTAATTCTTATACAAGATCTATCACTTTTCAACGTTCAATTAAACAGTTTTTATTTCTACATACAATCATTTTGGATTCTCGTGGCATTAATTTATAACGAGCGACCTACATTGACAGCTATATTCATGTTACTAGAATACAAGAAGAAAGTATCATGTAATCAAACATTCGTATATTTTAACGGTAATGTATTTTCTAAATGCGTTCTATAATCTGTCAACAGTATATTGATTCACGGTTCTTATTTTTTAACAAGTACATCGTGTTTTTCTTTTTGTGAATCGAACCAGTTCGATTTCTTTCCTTTAACGTTATATGTAAACGACATATGTTATGAATGTATCGCGAAATTTTCCGGTCCCTGTGAATCTGTTCCCATTTAACTTCATGCCATTTGTGTTTTTCTGGTGGTTACTATCTCAGCGTAAATATTTCCCTTTGTCAAGTGAAAAGATAACACGAGTCGATAAATGTCACACGAACGGTACAATTTTTGTCCACAAATCTCAGCCAACCAGTGTTTCATGCGTTAGTTAATCGCAATTATCTGTCATCGATCCAATTGAAACCAATATCATACGCTCCCTGTTCCCTTCAATTTTACATTAGTCAATGCAGTCAAATATACATACATTAAGCGTAATATTACAATTCACAGGATGTCTGACAGAACATGTGATTAATGTGTAATGAGGGTGTACGGTGTCATCAGTATTCTCTGTCACGATTTTAACGAGCGCAGCGTATTGCAGCGTTCTGAAGGAGGAGTTTAATCGATAATCGAAACATCCTCTTGCGGGAAAATTATAACGCGTATTCCTTTCTATGGAATCTTGGTATTTCGATATAAGAATGCCAGGGAAGCGCCATATAGTCGACAAATGCATTGGCGTAGCATTTCACGGATCGTTCTTATCTCGTTTATTGAGAATTGTTCTTGATGAAAGTATTAAAGTCGTTAAAAATAATTCCCTGCCCACTTTCTGTTTCACTTTCCCGATGGTTTCCCTGTTTTTAACCACGCTGCTCATCCTTAACATTAATTTTAATCGCGTATGGTTTCCGCGGTGAAATTGTTAACCGCAAATTATACTGGCTTGCGTTATCATGAAATCCTCATTGAAAAACGAGGGGGAATTCATGTCACGTTCTACATAATTCGACTTGCAAGATTGCCTTTTTTAATGTACTATTTCCGTGTTCTTTTTTTGTTTCTATTACCGATCGAGACAGAGACAGCTGCTTGTCTAATCTGTTCAAGGATATCGAAATATAAGGTATAATTACCCGATACATACTAAAATGACACACTTAAGTGGAACAAAGACTAACATTTTCGTTAAATCATCGTACAAAAAAATAACGACACGTAGTGAATGCACTTTTTCAGTGACAGAAGTTAGAAAAACACGTTCATAAGTATCTTCTTGTGGTCTATGTACTATTTGCGAATGGATAGATAAATTGAGTCTTAATCAATTGATAAAACATCAAAATGGCTAATGTGTAAAGATAACGAGTGAAAACATACATCAGAGGAATCAACGTTGTGATTTTTTTAAATCAGCAACAACGTGTATAAAAATATCTCTTTTTTTTTTTGCTTTCTTTTCTGTTCTTTCTTTTAACCTTTTTAAATTTACCTCGCGAACCCGTCCAACCAAGAATAACGTTTCTCCTATCGATAAATACGTCGGTAAAATTACACAAATAACAGATTACCATAACACAATTTCCCACTCGATGAAATTTAATCTTGATGCGCAAATAATAATTGTGACATTTCTTCCTTACGTAAATGTTCGAAAATGAAAAGTGAAGAGCCGCGCGTGAAATATTTATTCTCTGGTACAATAACCGCCTATAAACGACGTATATAAAACACGTATGTGCATTCGTTCCGATAAAATATTTATTTAACGAAGATCTGTTGCTGGTGCAGTATCACGGAACAATGAATTCTGGCGTATTTTTTTGCGGATTATCATTTGCTTTTGCAAAACATATCACGTTTCCCTTTCAGCAAGAAATATACTTTTATCATAGTATCATATTTCAAAGCATTCGTGTTCCAGTGCAAGCTGTTAGCATCTAATGCGAAGTATATTTTTTTGTAATCAGTCATCTGAGAATTGCAGCACCTGTAACGACAGAAAACTCATTATTCCCCTACTTTTACATGTAAATATTGCTCATCGATAGAACAATTGTAAGTTTTTTTTTTTTTTAATCTGTTTTCTCTGAATTTTATTTGTAAAATTTTATCAAGAATAAACTTACAACAAACAAATACTTTCATTTGTTTCTTTTTATATATTACGTAGGAATGCATCAGAAAAATATCGTCGAACAGTTCTCCTACGGTTCTTTCACTTTAGGAAGGTGCATGTTACAGTTGGTACAGTAAATCCCATGATCACCTAGTACAGCCACCTAGAACGGAATGTTAGTTGTTAGCTTCACATCAGGCCGCTGAATCTATCCCGAAGAAATCCGCTTTAGAAAGTACGTCGACTTCGTGTTTTTTTTTCATTCGGTCTCTTTGTTCTGTTCACGTTGCCCGATTGCCAGTCATGAACTCGTTTCTTCTTGTACTTCTGTTCCAAACTCGTTCACGGCTTGCCTGGCAGACTGCCGAAGGGGAACGAACGATTTTACGAAGATCACGATATTAATTAAAGAAAAAGCTGGCATTGAGACGTTCAAAAAGTTTAATCGTTCATTCATGGAACGATCGTGGTAACGGTTTTTCCGATTTTCATCGAATTTTTTGCAACGGAAACGATTACGTAACGTTGCTGAGTAAAACATTTCACTGATTTTCTAGAAACGAGAATTTAACGGTTCGAGGCATCGATTTTTCTTGATTATGCAGTTACAGTTCGATCGTACCTATAAATATCAAATTCAGCGAGTTCAGTGTGTATCGATTACACCGCGCGAATGCGGCAAACATTCATGGTGCAAAGTCAATGAGGCGAGCACTCGGCGAGCAACAGGTGTCCCTTAACCGTTGAATATTATTCCATCGCTGAATCAGTTTATGACGATGAAAAAAAGTTCATGTACCGTTGAATATTCGTCAAGCTGGTTTTTCTATCGTGTTTACGGTACGACATGTCCACCCCTTCTCTGACTAGTTTATTACCGTGCCAATGATGATGCGATAGTCATCGGTAGTTGCTGCGTCGTATACATATAAACGAAGAGATAGAATTTGAGAGGTGCTTGGCCTCTGTTCTCAGTAATAGTTGCTTTGACCTTGGTACAAACGACGCGTTACCTTTTTTTTTCCCCCAATCAACAGTAAAAAAAACGACGATTGCTCGCCGTTATAGTAGTTTCCTTTATAACGGGAACAGTAGTAATTATCGTATGACGTAGGAAGCAATTACAGCTTTCCATCATTAAGGCGTTCGGTATTCGAAAGTGTATCGCATTTGTGAAACGAAATATCGATGATATTAGAACGGTATTGTCAATGGTACACTCTTCGCTGCTGCTGTAGAAACTTCGTGTACTACAAAGTTCCGTTGGTAACACTTTTAATCACGTCTCTTCTTTATAGATGTCTCACGACCATATGACACATATGATAAATGCATCAGATGGCCACTCGGCTCATGATGCCCACGCATTCCATCAAAGTATGGATCACTCAAATATGGACCCAAGTATGTCTAGTTCTATGGATCATTCTAACATGCATCACGAGAGTATGAACCACGAGGGTCACCCTGTTGCATCCACCGCAGAAGCGTGTGCTAACATGGGGATGCATGGTATGTCGGCGGTACGTATCATCTACAAGTGAAAAACAACAGTGTTGATTTTATGAACTAACAATGGCATTTATAGATGACATTCCATGGAGGATATTGTGAAAATGTATTGTTCGAATCTTGGAAAATCTCGTCGGTCAGTGGCCTCGTAGGGTCGATAATCGGTATCATGATTATGGCCGCACTTTACGAGGGGTTGAAGTATTATCGGGAATACCTGTTTTGGAAGATGTACAATTCCCTTCAATACAGAAGCGTCACGATGCCACCAGAAAAAAACGTCGTGGCGGAAGATAATCGAGTCGTACAGTAAGTTTAGTTTCTTCATGTTCCTAGTCGAATATAGTGTAGAAATTTAGTTTGGATTTGAACATACAAGGAGTTGCTATTCACTCTATCCAATTTGATTTGATTTTTTTTAGTATGGACGGAGTAGTAATTCACAAACAGCCGTAAGTAAATGAGGAATGAATTTCTTGGTTTGCTGTGTTCTTTTAATTTTTTATTTTCTTCTGTGTTAAATTGCATCTTCTTTTTTTTTTCTTTTCTTCCTTTTAATTCTACTTTTCGGCAATATACACGTTACTAATTTCCTCTGTATTTAGATCTTATGTAGTTTGGCAACTCTTTCCTCTTATGTTCTTATATTAAATACTGCTTAGCATGATACATTTGATAGTGTTATAAATATTGTTTTTTTTTTGTTTTTCTAACGAAAAATTAATCCATTTTCGTGTAAATTTGTGCAGGCCTACAATGTTATCATGGATGCATACGTTTCAAACATTGTTACACATTGTGCAAATCGTGCTGTCATATTTCCTCATGCTGATCTTCATGACTTACAATGTCTGGTTATGTTTTGCTGTAGTTTTTGGTGCGGCAATCGGTTACTTTTTATTTGGATGGAAAAAATCTGTTGTTGTAGATGTTACAGAACATTGTCATTAGTTGTTTACGTATTTGCAATACATTGTGTTTTTACGACAAAAATGTACATAATTGTACATTGCCAAAAGGTTCATTCTAATCAGAGGAACTTCCAATAATTATATGTAATATATCGAATGTCTGTAGCGAGTGATAGTGTTACGTCTGAACGAGACATGTTTGGATCGAGTGCTTGAAATTAGAGTGCGAAATGAGCGCGCGTCAGCTAAGACTTTGAGCAGTCTTAGCGGGATATAATCCTGAGTTAGAATAATTAGCTAGTATTTGAGTTAATAAAGAAAAATTATTATCGTATCAAAACTTGCACTTTTTACTCTTATAGGAAATATAATTATCCTAAATTCGTATTTACAAAAGTACATAACGAAAAGTTTTCAACTTCAAATTTATTTGTACGCATATAAAATTTAATTTTCAGTTATTCATTCGGATAGCGGGACTTAATTATTACTGAATAAAAAACCATCTATAAAATGCAAATTTGTATACAAAAATACTGGAAGATTGAATCTTTCCCTCAAATGACTATAAGTACACTTAATTTGTAAATATTGTTAAGAGTTTTAAATGGGAAAGGTACCGTAAGATGCATGCACACTTTTCTCCAAACTTTTTTACGACTTTAATTCTTTATTGCAGTATATTTTATTGATATTCATTATTGAATTGACATTGATGTTTGAAAAAAAGTGTGCAGCGGTGTCTTGAACATTGCATACGTGACTATGTATTGTTATAATATAACGTCATCGATAATTGTATTATTAAAAGATGAATCTAGAAACTGTTGTTATTTGTAAAATATAAGAAAAAATTTCACATGAAATATAAGAAAAACACTTTATCAATATATTTTATTATTTATAAACAAGCACAGAGTACCTTTATTTTTTCTTTTTGTTGCAAAATCGATTTCTCAAGATTATAAAATTCGTAAAGTGTAGATATAAATTAATATCTAGGGCATACTATAAAAATTTTGACTGCCATATTAATAAATATGAGACAATAAATAAAGCATTGTACAACAAATGCAACATATATTGTACAGAGATGATTTTTATAAAATTATTCACGAAACTCACGTAGGACCGATGATGTAAAACATATTTAATTAATACAAAAACGATCTTATATATTATAGCAGTTGGTGAGACGTTTTCACCTTGATATGATTAAATTTTATATGTAGTTTTGCACCTAAATCAACAGATTATTCAATAAGATGCCAGAAATTTATATATCCCACATGTAGCTATACAAAAAGCACCAGCATGCATGACACTTTTATAATTAACGCGAGCCTTGTCGTTGGAAATAATCTTTAAATTACAATAATGTTATACACTATTTATTTCTGGTATGTAAAACATTACTAAAGTGTTAAGTAGCTTTTAAGTAAGTTACAGTGCTTTAGAAATGCGTTCATACGTTTTATCCGTACAAGGTTGTACAAAAAGCTTTACTTGATGTGTTTATAATACTATTCATTTTGTAGGAAAATCTTTAAACACCGACTGCAGAGCATTCCAAGAGCAGCAGAGTATGTTTTATAGTGTACATATTTCAAAATCATATATATGTATTTGTAAAGATAATTCAAAGGATTTCGTGATAAATATATATTACCACCACTGCCCTTAGTTTGTGCTGCAAAGATAAGGCAAATTTAGATTACAAAGCTAAATTACAATTTATATCTATTTCTTATTTATAAAGCAGTTGATGATAATGATTATTACTATTATTATTTTATCACAAGCCAATGGTGTACGAAACACTTAAAATACTGTCTGTAGCTCGAGAGCTGCATGAAGCGTGATACGAGTAGGACGTTTAATTTGACCTTACACTTTACAGTTGTATTCTGGAAATATCAACCATAAAATATTATTTTCTTCCGCGTATATGTAACTTTAAGTTACGTAGTTTAACGGAACTGAAAAGTACTTGTAAAAATCAATATAATCCGATGATTTTATATTTAAAATAAATATGTAAATGTTTTCATTGGCAACAGAAGAAACATTTAGTACTATTAAAAACTGAACATAATAGAGAAAAAACTACTTTTAATATTAAAGTTCACCTTATTATGAAGAAAGTATTGCAGACAGGCAAGAAATCTCTTCAAATAATTTTGTTAGACCTAGAAGAAAAAGTGTGTTACCAGTAATTTCATTATCAATTCAATGTTCAAACATTTTGAGTATTTGTGATTGTGTTGCCAATGGTCACAAATTATATTTAAATTGTCCAAACAAAGATAAGCATTGTTTAGGTCAAAGAAAACAGAATAAAATTCTTAAACTTATGTAATATAATGTTCTTATAAGTCCTAAATACAGTATTCATCACTTTTAAGTGTTGGTAGAATTTGCAACATAGTATACTCCTTTCAAGTATAAACAAATTTGATGTGTCCATTCCAAGAATGCCAGTATGCATCACAAAAATTATTTCTTTACCTCATTGCTACACATTTCAATTGGTTGATTGTATTTGTGAGTCTTGAGGAATATGTTTCATGCATTATGTTGTGAAAACATAAAAAAATATTTAAAATCTTGTATCTGTAACCTACTCAGCACCAGACACAGGCATACAACAACTTGAACGATGAGGAGATTGTTGTTTAGAAAGGTCAACTGTATCCTCTACTAATGGTCTTTCTAGTCCAGCTTCAAGTTGTGCCCAAGCAGCAACAGCTGCACCAAATGCTGCTTCAACATTGGTTGCATCCTTTGCAGATGTTTCTACTAGTGGAGGATCTCCATTTTCTGCACACCAAGCTTGAGCTTCTTCTGTAGAAACTTGCTTATCAGAATCTGGAACATCCACCTGCAAAAATTGTGTTCATGAGCCATTATGTTTCTTCTTTCATCAGCCTTATTCTTGCTTACTTTATTTCCAACAACTATAAATGGAAATGTTGATCCTTCTTGAACATCAGCATAATAAAGGAATTCAGATCTCCAAAGTGCTAAATTTTTAAAGCTTGTCCTATCATCCACTGCATAAGTTAATAGGCAAATGTCAGAGCCTCTATAAAATGGAGTTCTAAGAGTCTTGAATCTCTCTTGTCCAGCTGTATCCCATATTTGTAATGTATATGCCTCTCCATTAATTTCAATATCCTTGTTTAAAAATTCCACTCCAATTGTATGAAAACTATGTTCATCAAAGTGATTTGATACAAATCTGTTCATTAGACAAGATTTGCCAACACCACCATCACCCAGTATCACCACTTTTAACAGTGTAGATCTTTGAGAATTACGATTTTGTAGATTACCACCTCTAAGTGTTCCTACTGTAGTTGAATTGTTTCCTGACATCTTTTTATTTTTATACTTTAGCAGAATAACGACGAAACTGTATGTTCAAAAATATGATATATATATTTGTATTTTTCACATATCACTGCCTTCGATACCGGGTAATTAAATTCTTCACTCGCCGAACATCGATCGCATTTCTGATCTCTTGTCAATGTAGGAATCAGCTGATTTCGATACGAAATTATTCAATTCACTTTTCTTATATTAGATACATATTTTATGTCAACGATATATTCTCACTCACAATTCGTAACTTTGTATAATTCTTGCACGTTAAACAATTGTATTGTTAAAACACTTTAGCATCGTAATTTTCGTTTTACGATAAAGCATAACCTTCTCATTTTATAATAGAATTTTAACGTCAATTTAAATATGCTTCATGTTTGACGGATGGAATTGTATTTGATGATTTTGTAGAAGCCATGTACTCTATCTTCTTCGATTTTAACTTAATTATTCGAGCGAAGTTGCAATACCTTGAAAAGATGCCCTTTGGTACTGAGTCATAGCCATCACCGAGTAAAATTGCAATTTCTTCGAACAGATATATATTGTATGTTCACTCCAAGGCATTTGGCAATGGTAAGAAACATGAACGATCTTTCAATGTTTTTCAACAGCTAAAAAGTATTACTATTTCTGAACATTTTTGTTGTGCGCAAAGCATTTGACACTTTGCAGACGACAAAAGAAACGCCCATGTTGGATGTTGAACGTGCAGGACGAATATGGCTACCAGAAATTATAAATAATGTTAATCCCGTGTCATCGAGATGATATTATAGCGCATGCATTAACCAGCTAATAATAATTTACCTAACAACTAACAATGGTGAAAGCAATAACGCTAACATGTGTATTATTACACTTTGCTCGTAATATACGTGCTTATATATACGTATCGTTTAAACTGTATTAATATACACATGACAATTAACATGTTTAAAGTTATAAAATACTGTATTAAAAACATAAAATTTTTTAACATTTTTCGATATTTTTCAACTCTAATCGATCTAATGAAAATTATTTCAACGATTGTAATATTGCGTCACAAGTGATAGTGCGATATCATAGTTCGATACGTTAATATCTACTTGCGCTATTAAAATAATTGAAACACCGGTTGCTCAAATTGGAGATTAAAATTATTGTATTTAATTATAACTATGTACAGCTACCTAGTTATTACTTCTGTGTAATTTGAATTGCATTTTCAACAGAACCAGAAGGTGGTGCTACAGTGCTTAAAAGATTCTTTTTTATACACTCAGATGTCGTACCTGTTTGACGATGTACAGTAGTGTTCAGCGGGACTGAAATTTTTAGCCCAAATAAACGTTGGAAAAAGACTGTAAGGAATATGCCGCAAACAATAAAATTAAATTTAATATCAAAATTCTCTTATATTAAGGAAGATTCGAAATTGTAAGAATATGCGCATATCTTCGTAATTATATAAACGTCATACATTAGATAAGATTATCTTTTATAATTGCCAATTACATGTAATAAATAATCGGAACGAGTGCACTTTTTATTCATTTGAGGCAATACGTATTTCAGGTGAAATATATTATAGAAAATGGCAAATCCTCCTCCAAATGTTGGCCAATCTTATTTCTGGGGATCAGGAGTTTCTCAGCCACAAAATATGGGATATTATTCTGTTCCACCCCCAAATTTTCCACCTCCAAATTTTAGACAACCACCACCATCATATAATATGCCTGTTTCTACTCTATCTGAAAACAAAGCAGAGAATTTTTTGCCACCATCGTATCATTCTATACCTACATGCTATCAAAATGAAGTGTCAAACTCTTATCATGATGTTTCTTATCAGAATCAAACAGAGTTACAGTGTAATAATCAAAATTATGGATTATCTAATTATTCTCAACCAGCAACTAGCAACTTTAATTCAAATTGGGATGATAGAAGTGAATATCATAACAGTAGTAGCACAGAATGGAATTCTAACATTTATTCATCTGATTGGAACAAATCACAAAGTAATAAAGGTTCTTGGTATGAGAGCAATAAAGTACAAGAAGATGACAGAAAGCCAATGTATAAAAAATATAATGATTCTCCAAAAAATAGGAGATCTGAGTGGAGATATAGGGACAAAGAATCTTCTAATAGTCATACAGTTAGTAGAAAACGTTCAAGAAGTCCTGAGAGCAGATCAAGAGAGAGTAGATTAAGCAGATCACCATATAGATCAAGATATGACTCTCAAAAAGATAGATATTCTAAATACCATAAAAATAGATCAACATCTAGAGAACATGTACACAGTGAAGAAGATTCTGAAAGGAGATCATTATACAAAAGAAATACTTCCTATGTATCACGCTCTCAAAGATCATATACAAGTTGTAGAAGCAGGAAAAGATCAAGATCTCAAGAATCTTATTCATCTAGAGTTACTAGTCCAAGTAACAATTCCTCCTCCAAGAGGGATCCAACTGAAAGAGAATTACTCTTAGAAAAATATAGGTAGTAAATATTTTCTAAAATTATATACCTGTACATCAATATAATTTTCTCTATCTTATAACACAATCTAGGCAGGATTATTGTGCAACAAGCAAAGATATGGAAAGAAAAATGGATGAATTGTCTGCTATGGGTCCTGAAGGTATTATGGAAAATGCAAGAAAAGTTTGGACACGTACAGCACCAGCAGATTTGTATTATACTAGAGATGAAAATAATCCGAAAATAATGAGGGGTACAGCTAAATTACACGAATTATGTGAATTATTCAAGAAAATATTATTAGACAGAGCTGCAGGTGCAAGAGCTTTGCAGGTATACTTCTTCTGAAGTGATACATATAATAGAAATTTTTAGGAGATAAAGGACGAATTCTTAATTTTTTATTGCATAGCCTCCTTATGAACCACCTCCAAGAAAAACTAGAGCTCGTTTATGTAGACACAAGTCTGAAGCTTGTAGCAGTTCCTCTTCTGACAGTGATAGCTCAATGGATGAAGATGATAGAACAATGGAAGAACTAATGGCAAAAAAGCAACATCCACAAAGACTACATCCTGAAATGTGGTTTAATGATCCTGGAGAAGTAAATACTTTTTAGACATTAGAGAATATCGTTCAAGTAATATTTGATTAGAATGTTCAATGTTACAGATGAATGATGGTCCATTATGTAGGTGTAGTGCAAAATCGAGAAGATCCGGTATTAGGCACGGAATCTATGCCGGAGAGGGTGCAATAAATAAGTGTGATTTAAATTCGAACAATGCCGATAAATTGTATCATTATCGAATAACAATTAGTCCGCCGACAAATTTTCTTACTAAAACACCAACTATTATTAAACACGACGAACATGAATTTATATTTGAAGGATTTTCTATGCTTTCACATTTTCCCCTTGTAAAGTTGCCAACTTGTAAAGTAATAAGATTTAATATAGAGTATACAATCCTTTATATAGATGAAAAATTGCCAGAAAACTTTACCATTCGGGAATTAGATTATTTTCGTAAGTTCTGTTTCATCGTATTTAACGTTCAATCATTTTCATACATATATTCTGTATTCGTAAAAAATTATTCTTTTTCAGAATATTACTTGTTTAAGGAAGTATTGGAACTTGTAGACTTTGATCTACAAGCCGCGCAAAATAAATTTGGTTGTGGACAATTTCACTTTATGCCAAGATTCGTACGTGATTTAGCTGACAATGGACAGGAGATTTTATCTATGAACGAGGTTTTGAATTATTTAATAAAAAGTAGTAAATTGTTAATAGATCCAAATGATCTACCTAGGTTGGTGGAAATGCCCCAATGTAAGTGGCAAAATTTTGCCGATGAAGTGAAAGGCATGATTGTCACATATCCGGGGAAAAAGCCATGTAGCGTTCGTGTTGATCAATTGGATAGAAACCAAACTGATCCACCGCCTGGAATAATTACTTACCCCGAAATTGTACATTTTGGAATTAGACCGCCACAACTTAGTTATGCAGGGAATGCAGAGTAAATATTTTTTCTTCACGAATTGTTTTTTTTTTTCTTTTTTAATGAAAAGTAATGTGCTTATTATTTTTATTTATTCCAGTTATCAAAAAGCATGGAGGGATTATGTAAAATTTCGTCACTTATTAGCCAATATGCCAAAACCATCGTTTGAAGATAAGAGAAAATTAGAAGCGAAGGAGAACAAGCTTCAAGAATTAAGAACGCAAAGTAAAATGAAACGCGATGTTACAGTGGATGTTACTTCTGAAGGATTTTATAGAACTGGCATAATGTGTGATATAGTACAACACGCCATGTTAATTCCAGTACTTGTTTGCCATTTGAGATTTCATAAATCTTTAGATAACTTAGAGTGTACTCTAGGCTACGAATTTAAAAATAGGTATCTTCTTCAATTAGCGCTGACGCATCCTAGTTACCGTGAAAACTTTGGCACAAATCCGGATCATGCAAGGAATTCTTTGACGAATTGTGGGATAAGACAACCTGAGTATGGCGATCGTCGAATTCATTACATGAATACCCGGAAACGTGGTATTAATACATTAATCAATATAATGTCAAGATTTGGTGCAAGGACCGAAACAGAATCTTCAATAGCGCACAATGAAAGATTGGAATTCTTGGGAGATGCTGTAGTCGAGTTTCTTACATCGATTCATTTATTTCATATGTTCCCTGATTTAGAAGAAGGTGGCTTGGCCACTTACAGAGCAGCAATCGTTCAGAATCAGCATCTCGCTGTGTTAGCGAAAAAATTGAATTTAGAAGAGTACATGCTCTATGCACACGGAAGTGATCTGTGTCATGATTTAGAATTGAGACACGCAATGGCGAATTGTTTTGAGGCATTAATGGGTTCGTTGTTCCTCGATGGAGGTATAGAGGTTGCTGACAGAGTTTTCGGGGAAACTTTATTTAAGGACGAGGGAGATCTTTCTAAAGTTTGGGTAAATTATCCAAAACATCCTTTGCAAGAACAGGAACCAACAGGTGACAGACAATGGATACTAAGTTTTGAGCTATTGCAAGTAAGCATATGCATAAGAAGTATTTTATGAAGTAAGTTTATTTAATAATGTAATATTTATATATTTCTTTCTATGTTATGTAGAAATTAACAAAATTTGAGGAATCCATTGGTATAGAATTTACTCACATTCGACTTTTGGCTAGAGCGTTTACCGATCGCAGTATAGGATACACAAATTTAACATTGGGTTCTAATCAACGTTTAGAATTTTTAGGAGATACCGTGTTGCAACTTATAGTTTCCGAATATTTGTACAAATATTTTCCAGAACATCATGAAGGACATTTGTCTGTAAGTAGTATCGTAATTTTTTTTTTCATAAACATGAAAAAATACGATTTTATATTTTACAGTTATTACGAAGTTCTCTCGTAAATAATAAAACACAGGCTGTCGTGTGTGATGATTTGGGGATGACTCAGTATGCACTTTACGGTAATCCAAAAGCCGAATTAAAAACAAAGGATAGAGCAGATTTACTGGAAGCGTTTTTAGGAGCGCTTTATGTTGATAAGGGCTTGGAATATTGTCGTGTTTTCTGCGACGTATGTTTTTTCCCACGCTTACAAGATTTTATTATGAATCAAGATTGGAATGATCCGAAAAGTAAATTGCAACAGTGTTGTTTAACTTTAAGAACAATGGATGGTGGAGAGCCTGATATTCCTGTGTACAAGTAAGTTGGAATTATCCAAAATCGAGTACGTTTGTATACATTTGTACAAAGTAAACAACTCAAATCTTTTTTTTTTCAGAGTGATCGAGTGTAAAGGACCAACAAATACAAGAGTCTATACTGTTGCTGTGTATTTCCAAGGAAAACGATTAGCAAAGGCGTCAGGTCATAGTATTCAGGAAGCAGAAATGAACTCAGCTAAAGAAGCTTTAGAAAAATCTCAAGGTATAAGATGACAGGCTTTAAACGAAATACGAAAATTTTATCTTTATTGTTTTATTAAATTGTTTACAGATTTATTCCCGCAACTGGATCACCAAAAACGAGTAATCGCGAAAAGTATGAAAATGCAACAATGGCCAAATAAGCATAAAACAAGAGGTAGATCAATGAAACCTACAGATAGACACGATGATTCTGATTCCAGTCAACGTTCTAAAAGAAGCCGAAGTGAAGCATAATAGACGAATATTAATTTTTAACCATATTTTCTACTGAATGTATAATAATAAATATTGTAATAGTGGGTAAAATAAGTGGTATTATAACATAACAAATAGTATATTTATTACATTCACTCATAAATAGTAGGTCTTACTTTAGTATCACCATCATATTCTACTAATGCAGGGTTTTCCTGACGTAATACTTTTGGATTTTGATCAATAATAGCTCGACACATCTGCATGTTGTCCATGATGTGTTCCAGAGTCCAATGTTTTGTTAATAATGCATGCTTTTTATTAAAAAGACCATCTTGTATACATTGTATTTGAACACAAGTAGCATTAGTACGAAGAGCCATACCTAAATCATGAACTATTGTTTTCAAATACATATCATATTCCTGTGTACAAACAATTTCTGTAAAATTAGAAAATAAAGTTGTGGAATATTACTTTTTATTCATTTTTCATTCATTTAAACATGTTTTTAGCAAGATATTTTTACCTAATGCAAAGTGTGGAGGTGAAAAGTCCACACATTTAATTGTATATAACAAAGGAATACTACGATCTGTTGGTCGAAGTGGACCTTGCAATGCCAATTCATATGCAGCTTGACTTTGTATGTCTACTCCACATAAACTGTAAATGCATACAAATGCATGTATCATTATATAGTGTTGATACATAGTAATTTTTAAATATGTATTATTCCTCTACATACTCAAACATTTTCCTTTGATGAGAAGATTGCATGGAAGTACATATTTTATCAATGTGACCACGTTTTACATGGGTATATTTAGATTTTTCTACTATTTTTCCAGTATGAAAATAATTATCTGTTGCTTGACCTAATAATCCTGCTACTCTATAAAACCTTACACACTTGGATTCTTTCAGCATATGTACAATTCTGTTACCTTTATTAAGTCCACAAACTATAATACCAGACACATCTTCATGCATATTTTTTGTAGCAGCCAATCTAAAGTCATTTGGTTGATAACGAGGCCCTACTACTAATGGATGATCTGCAAAACTATCTCGAACGTGAACTTTTAAATTTATGTCCGTTTGACCTTCTATAACTACATATTTGAGTGGTGGTCGAGTTTTCATATCATTTAAATCTGAAAGCATTAAAAAATACGATCAAATTCTATTACTAAAGCATTTTACGATATACAAAGAGCACATTATAACCTCTGCACAAATTTTGAATTATTGTATCCCTCATTCGATTGAAACGTAAATGAGCAGGTTTATAAATAAGAAATACACTATTTAATGCTTTAAATACTGGTCTAGCCTCGGCTACATATTTAAATACTCTTTGCACTGACATTTTATCTTTTAGTGTTTTAAGTTCGTCTTATTAACTTTCATAAAATACGCTATTAGATACTGGATATTGACATATAAATATTAAAGTTGATGTACAAGTACCAAATTAATTGTTTTATTTTTTCAGTTTTGATTTCACGTTATTATTTTACATTTAGAACTGAAATGTATCATTACACATGGGATATATGGGAACTGAATTTCGGTAAACATTCTTTAAGCATTAAAATACAAGGAGGACACCTAGCGTACGATTTTACAGATGGCTGCGTGTTTCAAGAATTTTGGAAGTGGAGCATTGAGCACCCGGCGTTTAATTTTTAAAGGTATTTATGGAAGATTACGTAAAAATAGTTTTTCCTGTATATTCTGATGCAATAATTAACGAACAGTTAACGTGCTACTCTCAACTATCCTCTTAATATATACGGATCAGGGGAATGAAGATAGTAAAGCACTTTGTCCAGTGATAGGTTATGGTAAAAGAACACTTGTATTTTTCAGGGTTACACTCTAAACAACTTGTCACGATGTCTGAAACGTTGAATAAGGTGTCTGATGTGGACATCGATGGTCATGGCAGATTTAAGTACATTTTAATCAACGTGCACGACGAAGCTAATAGTGTCAACAAATCGATCGTCAGAGGTTATGCCAGATCGCAGTGGCATGGTGAGTAGTCACACATTTCGATCAATCTGTAATTATGAAATTGTTTCTGTGAAGAAATAAGTATTGCATTGTGAAAAAAAAAGACATCAATCATACGGGTATCTTACAGAAAATTTTTATTTAATTGTAAATTAGTTAGAAGGTTGATAATATTAGGCTAGAATATTACATATAATCCTTGTACAGTGATATTCAAGGAGTTTACTATTTACAATGATAAAGATACAGTCTGTACATCTTTACATACATACACATGTGTACATGTACAATAGAATACATAAGTTAGGCATTGATTATCATTAAGAATGCCTGTGGATCAACTTATTCTACTAAGGTACAATGACATCTGTAGTATTTGTTCAATTACATAGAACATTTATCGTTAAAATAAATAAAACTCAAGCCCGACGATACGAGACACCTTTTTTCTCCTAAAAAAATAGATTTCGAGATCCTCGAATTTGTTGATTGATTTCTCTATGATTGATTCGATCAAGTGCGTGGATGGGTGCATTTTACAATGTGTCGTTGAATGCGATGTTTAAATACACGTGTAATCAAAAAGGGCAGTACGACTTTCATTTTAGGAATAACACGAGTAGGAACTGCACGAATCGTAGTGTTACCTCGATGGCGAAAATCGTCTCTGAATCTTACTTTTTTTTTTTTTCTTCTCATTTTTCACCCTTTTTTCATTTTCATACAGAATAAAGTTTTTATTTCTTTTTTTTTCCCACGATACACGTAAATGTCAATGAAAGTAGATAAAACCGTACATCGATCTGATTCTCGGAATTTCTCGAAAAATTCACAATGTCCATAGGACACTACGCCCCAGAGTTTCCTCGATCATTTGTTAGTTCGTTAAATGTATTTTTAAAGGACAGAAAGAAAACATCATTGTCGAACAGTTTCCAAACTTCCCCCTCTCTCTTTTCGCGTTACTAAGAGGCTCTCCTGAAACAACACCAAGCTCTCTGTATACTGAAGCCTAGTTTGCAGTTCTTGTGGTTCGAACTTTTCACGTTTCGCGCGCCACTGTTGTTCCTAGTCGACGATCGCGGTGTCGCCTCGGTCGTTTGCACCTGCTCTCAGGTGCTGTCACTCTCCTCGTAATGCTCTATCAGATCCACATCAAGGTCCCTCGATTCTTTCAATTTCTCCTTGATCGGCTCCAATTTGCTTCCTTTGTATTTGTGCCCGTTATCTTCCTGCTTCTCGTGGTTATCCGTGCTCTCCTCGCATGTTTTCCCTGAAACTTTCGCCTCTCTGATGGGCGATGGAAAACCTACGAAATCTGGATCCGTATTACTGTACATCAACGTGAATGGTAACTTGAGAGAGACGTCGCCACCCATCGCTGAAATTAATAGCTTCACCTGGAAAATACATATATATTTCGTACGATTAAAGGTAATTCTAACCTCAATTTTTATTAAAAATATTTTTTCGAATCTTGTCGATACGAAACAATTTAATAATACAAATCGAGTCTCTGTAACTGCTTCACTCGTATATCTCCTCGGATAAAAGGGAATTTCTCGATGAAACGCTTAGAGATTCTTTACCTTCACGTAGTAAGAAACGTATATGGCAAAAACGTTCCTGTCCTCTGGACCGTTTCCAGGACACATGACCGTGGAGGCCAACGTGGCCCCAGCTTTCGTGTAACTATCCTGCAAAGCGATCCAATTCTTTGTGGATCGTTTGATAGGTCTGAGCATGTAGTTTTTCTCCAGTGAACCTCCCGGTCCTATAGGGCAACCCTCTTGCGACGACAAAAGGGCCACGACGTTCTTGAATTTACCGTTACTGAACATGCACACGTCCACGTGCTGCACGATGAAAACCTGCGGGAAAATTCCATTTAAAAAAAGCTTCGCGATAAAACGGATTTATCCGTCGTGGCGAAGTTTATCGTCCCTTTGTCACACAGTGTTTGCAAGTTCGCGCTATTTTCAAGAGGATCTCTCGCTACCGTGGAAACTGCCCATGTGTAGTTTCGGAGAAATTCCCGAGTAAATCGTGCGACAGAGAATTTCCAGGGAGAATTGTCGTTGATTTTTTTTTTTCTAATTTTTGTAGCGACCCTCCTACACTCTACCACCAGAGGGACAGACTAACTACAGGTTCTCGCTAGTCTTCATAAAGGCTCCTATTTGTATATATACACCTTCTGACCTGAGTCCTTCCAGTCCCTCCTAGAAGTCCACTAGGAAGCCCAGGACGAAACGCCCTACCTTTCCTTTTCCGTCTATCTTCCACCAACTTTCCTACTTAAAATTAGCTTCATTTTTAAAAAATCCTACGTATTCCAGTAAAATGTTTCGCGTTGTTCGCGAGCAGAAAGAAAGGATTAATTAGAATTTAGCAGGGAAAGGGAGAGGAGGCATTTGCCAGTCGAAGGACAAACACGATTACTCGTTTTAAGCCGAGTTGTAGCTTGTCGGTCTGTTTGCTGAACTGTCGGGACGAAGTTAACGCGGACGTGTCGCCGAAGTTGTACGCGACCGCGCCGTATCGAGACCGTTCGTTCTCGTTTTCAAACAACGTTCGCCACGCTCGCTAATGAACTGTGGCGCAAAGGCAATTGACACGGACGCGATCGCTTTATGCACCCTCAAGTCCTTCTGTCCCTGCAGGAAATTCAACCCATCCTACGTGTTCTTTGCGTTCTCCCGCCCTTTTGATCCGCGTGTTTTAAAAAGAAATTCATTGATCGCCTCGAATTACAACGCTCTTTTACGCCTCACCTTCGCCGCTTTTTGTGTAATTAAAACATGCGAGCGATACCATCGACGAGGTGACGAGAAGGCGAGAATAACAGCGGACGAAAGAATATTTTTTTTAAATTAAAATTTAGTCGATCCTTCGAGGAATTTTTTTTTAAATTTCATTACCGGCGAATATGAGTTTTATTATTTCGACTATCTGGTTCTTTCAACTGAATTTTCCTTCGAAAGACTATGCGGCAACGTTAAGAATACCATTCAAATCGCTGTGCTACGCAATTGAGATTTTTGCCCGCGAAATTTAAATTGACCAGGTGAAAAAAAGAAGAGAAAGAGAATATATCGCTGTGTTCTACAGTTCGGGAATATAGAATTGTCGCTGTATCTCCGCGTTTTCCAGGAAATTGTGCATCTTTCTTTCTCGCATCTTTGACTACTTTTTTCGTCGGTGTGACACGCGCGAAAATGTGAACACCTCTATATTAGGGTGTCACAGTCAAGCCATGGAATTTCCTGTGCTCACCCGAAATGTGATACACACGCTAGATTACACGCGCATGTCCCACGAGAATGAAATTTTGCCCGGCTTAACGCCCTCCGGGCTGCGTGTGCCACTGTGTACCGGACATTAGTGCCCCGTGTGACGTTGTTCAAACGGGCGTAATAAAAGCGATTACGCTGTTTCGAAGGGACTCCCATGTGCTTGCAAACTACGGACAAATTTTCTTTTTGTCTGACAAAGTTGCCCTTTGCACGACGTTCCTACTATACAAATTAATTGTCTCGCTTGTATCGAGTCGTGGGAAGAAGTAGTACAGGTCACCGAGTGATCAGACACGCGCGTCTCTGCTCGATCTATTCTACTGTGCTTCGTACCACTTGTCAACATTCCGTGTTTCCCAACGAAATCTCTCTCGTTTCTCGGAGTTTTTAACCCCTTGAACCGAAATGACGAGTCCAGCTCGTCGTGAACTTTCTTGAGCAAACTAACAATGACGAGCTGCACTCGCCAGAAATTATTCAGAGTTGAAGCTGTTTATATGAGAAGTATATGTAAGTCATAGCGAGTCTTTTGCTTTGATACATTTGTGGCGACTAAATTTGGGAGGTGAAAAAATGGGAGAATATAGAAAATCTAGAAGAAGAGAAATCTAGAAATATAGAAGAGAGAAGGAAAGTACTTAACACTATGCCGTCCCGTGGCACCACATTGGTGCCTTACGAAAATTATCGGACAAATGCCGGTGACATCACGTTGGTGTCTTATGGGAAGCTATCGCACAGACGCCAGTATCGCTTGTGTTCTGTCCAAGTATTAGAAGAAGAGAAATCTAGAAATATAGAAGAGAGAAGGAAAGTACTACCTTAACACTATGCCGTCCGGTGGCACCACATTGGTGCCCTACGAAAATTATCGGACAAATGCCGATGACACCACGTTGGTGTCTTATGGGAAGCTATAGCACAGACGCCAGTATCGCTTGTGTTCTGTTCAAGTAACAATAAGTTACAGGTTGCAATACGATCATATTAGCAAGTTTTGTGTTTTTACAAGAAATTTTTTTTTTTTCTCCCGAAAATCTCGAAAAACCCCCGGCGACAGGCGAAAAGATCCGAACCAGTCCTGCCAAACAAAAGAATCCGGATTACGCGTGCGGACGGCATAGTGTTATTAGGAAGTCGGAACAATGGATGGTAAAAACGAGTGTTGAAAACGCCGTTCGTCTATGCGTTTACCGAGGGTACGCGTCTCTAACCGTCTCGGCTAATCCAATGGTCCGCGGGATCCTTCAGGTCCGTTTTACAACTGGTGAACGCGTAAACTAGAGAAAAGAAAACGTTCGGTACGGAACACCTCTAATGGTAAATGTAACGTCGCTTCTTAGTCGCTTCAAAGAGTGCAGAGGGTTAAAGACGTAGTGAACGTTGTTGAAAATTCGAAAAACCGCGAACGTTCTTTTTCACGATCGAAACGAATGAATTACTTTTCCCCCGACGATCCAACCCGTTCTTCCCTGAAATTTTAATCCCCCGACAGCCTCTCCCTGACCTTATTAAAAGCAGCCGCCGTCAGGAATACAAACGACACACATGGGATGCCAGCGATTAATTTATTAAACGTGACCGTGGATTAAATCACTCGTAACCGGTTATTAAAATGAGGGGAAAAAGAAAAGAAACGAATCAGACGAGCAAGGACGACGTAGAAGTGAATTTCGCACAAATTGATCCTCGAGTAAGCGATTCTGTTCGTTCTCGTTAGCATTT